GCACATCAAGCCGCTCAAATGATGCTTCGTACGCTCATCCGTCCGGATCAGAAGGATAGTGTTGACCGCCTCCCCGACACCGAGTTCGCCTACAACACTTTGTTGCATCTGGCGATCAGTGTGACTCCATTCGAGTTGCACCACGGTGGCCGAAAATGTCATGCCATATCTTCTCCTCCCACGAACAGCCGACATAGACGCTGCTTGCTCCCCCGCTTCCGTCCGGAAGTATAGGGAATTGTTGGCTCAAGCCCGCGCGAACATGCAAAAGGCTCAAGTCCACATACAGCAGCAAGCCAACAGGCGTCTCGTGCCATGTCCCATCCGTGCCGGTGATCTGGTTTGGGTCTTCGCGGAAGAGTTTGCATTCGAACAGGATGTTTCACGCAAACTACTCCACAAGTGATTTGGACCATGGCCCGTAACATCAGCCGCGGGCGATGAGCCTGATGGCCCCTCATTTGTGATCAACATTCCCCCGCATCTGACGGTCCATCCAGTCTTTCACGCCTCGAAGTTGGCGACATACACACCAGCTAAGAGTGACGACTTCCAGGGCCGACGATCGCAAGACCCTCCATCTATGGATGGTCATCAGGAAGTTGACCGTGTCATCACGGATCGCAGGTACGCCAGCAAGCCTCGACAGTACAAAGTTACTTTCAAAGCATGCGATCCCGACGACACTTGATGGATTTTAGGAGCAGATTTCAAAGCATCCGCACCACTGATCTACGCTCACGACGAACGACAGAGGTTAGCTAAGGAAGCTTCACGACCTGCCCCTCCCACCCGGACTTTGGTCCCTCCCTCAGACAGGCATCTTCGCCCTCGCAGCTAAGCTCGGTCTTTCAAGGAGGGGGGGTGGGGCATACCGCGCAGCCACACGGGCCTGGAAGGCCCAACCAGACAGAAAATCAGGCCCTGTGTCGTTTTCAGCCTAAAAGCCTGAAAACAAGGCCCTACAGACCCTATGTCGTTTCAGCCTTTCAGCCTGAAAACGAGGGCCTACAGGCCCTGTGTCGTTTCAGCCTGAAAGCCTGAAAACGAGGGCCTACAGGCCCTGTGTCGGTTCAGCCTAAAACAGGGCCCTCCAAGCCCTGAGTCTTTTCAGCCTGAAACGGAGGGCCATTTTCAGGCCCTCATAAGATCGACCTGCCCTGAAACTTAGGCACCAGACCAGGGTTTTAGCACAGACCATTTTGGGCCTGTTTTCAAGACAACCTTCGTTTGAACTTCAAGGCGAGGGTCTGGCATGTTTTGGCATTGGCAAGAGCAGCCTCCTGGACGGGCCAACACTATATAAGACTGGCCCGCCCTGCAGGCTGCAGGTAGTTCATAGGGACTTCCAAGGGACTTCACGTGCAGTTCAGGAGGCAGGAGGTAAGTCTTCAGGATTCGGCAACAGCACTCTGGAGGAGCGCTGCAGGAGTAGTAGTAGCGTTAGCAGTAGTCTTCAGCGCTGGGCGCTAGTAGGAGCTAGAGCAGCATTGGAGAGAGAGAGAGGGATGGTTGGTGGAGGCCAGGGAGACTTACCTGTGGCGCCATAGCTCCAGCTTTGTCTTCGATGTACCTGCAACAAGGCGCCACCTTCACAGGTTAGTACCGGACCGAGAGAGAGAGAGAGAGAGAGAGAGAGAGAGAGAGAGA